ATGTATTGAAAGAGACTCCGAACTCTGTGGTAACACATTCATATATTGCCTATATGTTGATGTTCTCTGGGCAAGTTGTACAAAGCCATATTTCCTGGTGCAGTAGAATAACTTTGTCTCACTCTCCTGATGCAAAGCTCCCTACATGTCTCATAGTGATAGAATCATAAAAGAGACCTCAGGGGGTCATCTAGTCCAATCCCCTGCTCAAAGCAGGACCAACCCCAACTAAATCATTCCAGCCAGGGCCTTGTATTTTTTCCTAATATCCAACCTAGACCTCCCCCACTGCAACTTCAGATCATTGCTCCTTGTTCTGTCATCTGCCACCACTGAGAACAGCCTAGCTCCATCTTATACATTACTCTATATATGCATAGTGTTGTGAGACAATTGTTATATCATCTTATTCACCTTGCCATGGATATTATTTGTTATAACTTCTGAAATTATAAAGAAGCAGTAAAAACAATGTGAGATACAGAGAAACAAGATGGATGAGGTAATATGTTTATTGGACCAGCTTCTGTTGGTGAAAGAGACAAGCTTTCGAGCTACACAGAGCTCCCCTTCAGATCTTCCCAGAAGAGCTGAATGTAGCTCGAAGATCTGAAGAGGAGCTCTGTGTAGGTCAAAAGCTTGTCTCTTTCACCAGCAGAAGTTTGCCCAATAAAAGATATTACTTCACCCACCTTGTCTCTCTAATATCCTGGGACCAACCCACAGCTACACCACCACTGAAAATAATTTGAGATAGAGTCAGTGAAATGTTCTAAGATAAGAACAATTGCTTGAGATGTGCAGACAATGTTGCTTAATGCAATGCAATGCAAGAAGCTTTGTCCCAATGCAACATATCACTTAAACTGTAAAACAATATTTTCCATAGTTGCAGACAACATTTTAGGTTGCAGTACCTGTTGAACAGATTTTAAACATAATGTTTTCTGTCTAATTTTTCTCAACTATTTCTTCCCCCACTAAAGTGTCCATTTAAAATGTTCTCATTTATTCTCATTTACTTTTAGATAAAGTCCTTCACAAAACCCATAGAACTTGATTCAGTGACCCTTATACTGAGTGACACTTACTCACATGAGTCATCTCACAGGAGTCATTGGAAGGGATTTTCCAAAGCACTCAGCACTGGCCTCTCTGCTGTCACTGGAGTCAGTAGTCAATAGTTGAGTCACTGACTTCAATGAAAGCAAACATAGGCCAGTGCGGAACACTTTTGAAAACTTAAAATTTAAACTCAAAGACTCAGGTACATTTTGCGTGGAAATCAATGAAACTACTCATCAAGCAAGTGCTACCCAAAGTGAAGAAAACTTGTAAAACTGAGTCCAAGCAGCTCACGTTAGCAGGCTCGCCTTAACCAGTTGTATAAACATTACAGTATAAAGATAAAATAATCTTAGAGAGAGAAGGAGCAAGTCAAAGCAGGAAGAAGTTTAATTTTCACCTTTGACAACAGGAGGATTTTCACTTCCAGCTGCTTCTGTGTTTAACTGACCATTTTTTATGTAGTGAGTGAAAGCCAGCCAATTTTCTTCAGAGAAGTTGTACTATTCTCTTGACTCAATAAGAGCTATATGCTTCTTATTTGTCTATGGCACCATGGGGATGACATAAAACATCAGAGCAAAGATTTCTTTTTCCAATATGCAAAATTAACTCAATGGGGAGCATTTAGATACCACCAATTTAGTATCAAACCAAAGCAAATAGTCTTCTTAGGGAAGAAAGGGACCAAAGGGAACACAAAATGGTACCTGAATTAATTCAGAGTTGTTTCTTATAAAAGCAGAAGAAGTTTCTTTTATGCTCAAGTGGATTACATGTTTCCTTTTATAATAAGTCAATTGGTTGGGGAATTTAAAGATAATGTCATGAATAACCTCACGTAAGAGTACAAAAGGGAGGCTGAATTTTCCAATAGATATTAGCAAAAGGGTCATTCCAAAACATGGCCTGGATTTCTTTTTTGGAAGGAGATTATGATTTACATCCTCCATTGATGTAAAAAGGCATAGTTCCATGGAACTCAATGTTATTGAATTATAATGTTACACCATGTATTCGTTTCCTATTTCCTTTAAACTTGAGGGACCCAATTCACTGAAATACATGGAGTTACCCTTATTTATGCCACCCTACGGTTTAACCAAATAAATAACAACCCAAGGACCTTTTTTTTTTGGTTGTAAAGAAAGTTTGTTTGGGGACTGAGGTCTATTTATACTGCCAGCCCTGGCTAATGATTCTCTACTTATCCACATTTCTAAGGACCTAAGATCTTTTGTTTGAAAAGAAGCTTGGAAGCAATTGTCTTGTGTTCATTAATCCATAAACATTTGATTTCAAATTAGATTGCCGGCAGACATAACCTCTCTGCATTGTTACAGTGGAAAATTGATTTGATTAATCAAACAGCTTTGTCTCTAGAATAGTAGTCCCTGACAGTGCTATGCAAAAAATTGCTTATGCAATTGCCAGTGCTGGCATGCTCATCCCTCACCTTGCTAAGTTTTCCCTCATGAAAACATCAATTGTACACCTCATTCAATTAATTATTCTACATAATGCTCATTGCACCTATTGTGCATCATTCCGCATATTAATAAAAAGCTATATTCTAGTCCTGGCTCTGAAAGTGACCTGCTTTGTGACGTTGTGCCACTCACTGCACTGTGCCTCAGTTTCCCCATTTGTAAAATGGGGATATTGAGACTTACCTTTCTTCATAAAATACTTCAAAAACTATGTGTGAAATACTTCTTTTTTATTTAGTGTATTATTTTTATTTTCATTATGTTGGACACTAGCTACCTAATAATATTAGATTATATATCACTATTTACTATCTATATTTGACGGGCCTCATTTATACTAAGGACATTCAGCATAGCTCTGAGAATGTAAATAGGTCTTCATATGAGTGTAAATATAATGTACATCTAATTTTATGCTCCTTTATGTTACCAAAGTGGTGTAAATTGGCCTTCATGTAAACAAGAATCAAGCACAACAACTCCGCTTCTCATAACTTGCAGTTTTAGATTTCAAAACTAATAGTTCCTTTTCCCACTCAAGGTCTCCCTCCCATCTAAAGCACTATATATGTGTGACAATGAATACTGTTATACTGTTCCATTAAGAGAATCTGTGCATGAAAATACTGCACCCACAGACAACACAGAATTAACCAAACAAAAATCCACCAAGCACTATTTTTCTTTAATATTGGTGTTATTATCCTGTAGTTATTTGCAGTGAAAAACTATGCATGTTGTGCTACCTAGGCCATTTAAACAGTGAATTGGTTATTTTAATCTGTAATACAAAAACAAATTTTTAAACATTTTTGAATTAAACTGGGTCTACTGGAAACAATGTGAACACAATTTATTTCATGATAGGCGACATCATTGACCTTCCAGTATTTTTATTATCTTTACAAAATGACTACTATGAATATATATCTTTCTCCTTTATTAATCCAAATTTCATTTTATCATGTTGTCTAGGTAATCTGAGCACATTAGATGCTTCACTTTGTATGAAGAGTATTTGTTGAGACAAGAAGCAAATGGGAATATTAACTCTAGACAAAGCTGCAGGGATCCTACTAAAAAAATGCTTCTCTAGAATAATGGCATTATCCAGCGACTATGGTTAGGTCAAGTATCCATCCCCGGACTGGCTGAATGTGCTCCAGGATGTCTAGAGAGCCTTACAAGAAGATATCCTGATTACCTCCTCCCTTGGCAAAACTTCCTGCAGGCAGGTTTGGAAGAAGGTTTCCGTACAGAGACATGTCGTGGGGATGTGATAGGGCAAAAACTGGGGTTTTCCCCATGGAAAAGGTGACAAAGTCCATCACAAACCTGTTTCCTGCAGGATCTGATAAAGGTGGAGGCCATCAATGTAGAGGTTCTATGCCTCCTTCCCACTCCCTGGTACCTCTTGAAGCTGTGGTATCAGGGCTTCTGCAGCCAGCGCTTGCCCTGGGGATACCCTAAAAGGGGATTTTCACTGCAGAGGGGGCCTATATGAAAGATAACCTGGAGCTGTATTATCCATCCACCTTGATTTCTGCAGATCCAGTGGGGGTAGAATGTACTCTTTCTTCAACCTCCTCCTCCTTTCTCAGCTCTACTGCCTCTCCCCTCCCCCCAATACATACATTCAACTCTCTGGGTTTACAGAATATCTTCCATGCATCTACAGAGGAATATGATTGGGCCCATACTTTTAAAAGATATAAATTCCCTCTTTTCATCCTAATAGTTCCAGCACTCACTCCCCAATCTGTGCCCCACCTCACTCCCTTATGCGTACACAACACGCATCTTCCCAGCCTGGAAAATTCACATTTAGTCACTCTTCCTAACAGAAACTTTAGTATTATTATTAAACACAAATAAAGCAAGCATACTTATCAGGCACAGAAAGAACGTGAGGAAATGCTAGGAATGGAGGGCATCTTGAGCAAGCACAGGAAGGAGAAAATTAGTGAAAAAATGAACATATAGTGGGCCAAGCGCCATTGAGATGACTGGGCTCCCGTTGAAATCAAGGCAAGTGAAATAGGACCAAGTAGTGAGGAATTTCCAAAAAAAATCTGTTTTGACTCAAGCCAATTTATTATTATTATTAACATTATTTTTTCAGAACTGCCACCAAATGGAAATAGTTATTCACCCAGCTCTAGTGCAGACTGACTAAATCTGTCTGGAAGAGAGCTGCAGCAGGGCAAGTGTCCTGAATCTTCCACTCTGCCTGGTATCCAGCAGGGAATTGGCACAGCAGTGGGTAGTGCTGTCCTGCAGATGCCCTCCCTTGGGGATGGACTTAATCCAAGGTCACAGGGTACGTCTATACTTACCTCTGGGTCCGGTGATAAGCAATCGATCTTCTGGGATCGATCCCGGAAGTGCTCGCCGTCGAAGCCGGTACTACTGCTCCGCGAGAGGAGTACGCGGAGTCGACGGGGGAGCCTGCCTGCCGCATGTGGACCCGCGGTAAGTTCGAATTAAGATACTTCGACTTCAGCTACGTTATTCACGTAGCTGAAGTTGCGTATCTTAGTTCGAAGTGGGGGGTTAGTGTGGACCAGCCCACAGAGAAGTGCAATGTGTGCTAGCAATTCCACAATGCTGGTCCAAGCATAACAGCTGTATCTCCATAGCTGTATCTTTTACCGAGCAAGCCTTTGTCTAAGCCACCTACCCGCTGAAGTCCACATAGTAGTAACACCCACAATGACAAACAACACCATGGCAACAAAAAAAGCAGGATTCACTTCTCTCAAGCTTACTTATTGCAGTTATCACTTCAGGCCAAATCTCAGCCCCTCCTAGTAAAGACTTCTACTTCTTATTAAAGAGCACACACTTTCATTTATATGTATTCCTCCTGCAAAAGTAGGGAGCTATAAAAATTCATGGAGATATCCTATCTCCTAGAACTGGAAGGGACCTTGAAAGGTCATCAAGTCCAGACCCCTGCCTTCATTAGCAGGACCACGTAGTGATTTTGCCCCAGATCCCTAAGTGGCCCCCTCAAGGATTGAACTCACAACCCTGGGTTTAATAGGCCAATGCTCAAACCACTGAGCTGTCCCTCCCCCCTAGGGGGATCTGAGGAAGAAGACAAATGTGTAAGAAATAGATGAAATTCTGTGAACGATGCAAATTAAACTAACATACTGAAAACACCAGGTTTAAAAAAACCTCCACTTCTGTGCAGAAGGCCCAATTCTCCTCTCACATCTATCAGTTTTACACCAGTGTATCCCTATTTTCTTCTCTAGATTTGCTCCTGATTTGCACCGGCACAAAAGAGATCAGAATCAGGCCTGGAATTCCTGCTGGTGTTCAAACATAGAAGATAGAAGTTTCTGCTGAACATTACACCAGCCCTCCTCATCAACTAGCGTAGTTATCTTCTGGTGAAACAATGCGAGTCAAAGGAGATACCAGAGAACTACTTATGTCCCCATTTGTTTTACTTCACAAAGTTAATGAGTCTTGCCTGTAAGCATTTATTTTTCTGTGAAATAAAACAAAGGTAACTAACTGTGAGTAGTAGCCCAAAGGAGAGGGGGGAATATCATCATGCTCCCTGCCATTAGCAAACATGCAGAGAAGCCAAAGTCCCCAGAGCAGGAGGAGGGCTTAAGCTCACTGCAGCATAAGAAGTGCTAAAGTCACAAAAGTCCCATAAACTGGTTTTCAAGAGATGGCAGAATCCAGCCCCTAGACTCTGAGGACCCAGGAGAACAATGTGAAATCAGGGCAAAAAGTTATCAGGGAAAGCAATCATCTTTACTTCTAGGCACCCTGAACATGCCGATTCCAACTTGAGGCCTGGTGCAGGCATACTGTTCCAGCCAATCACACTGCATCCTAAAGGTGGAGAGTACTGAGCTACTCAATGGAGTGTCCAAGTCCTTCTGCCCTCTCCTGCTTCCATGATCTACAAACGTTTTTGCTTTGTATTGTCAAATCCATGAATGATAGCAAAAATAATGTCACAGTAACAATGGCAAGTTTTTCAGTATAGTCTTAAATATCTCCTTTAATTGATAGTAAGAAAGGAACTCTGCCAAAATACCAAATCATCAGATTACACTATTTCTCACTTCCTATTCAACATGATCTATTTCTTCTTGTGACTCTCACAGCAACCAAAGCATGGAGCTGCTGCTATGATCTCAGCCTAATGCCCGCCCTGTTGTGTCTACTGGTTTCACTAAGCTCTTTAACAAATATTATGGATCCATAAATAGAATATATTCAATACTGCTCAGAGAGAAATTCATTTCCAAACATTCTGTTTTCATGAACCCTCCAATCATTTATTATATAAATCGAAACATTTATTGGATTACTGAAATGTTGTTTAGATTTTACAATCAATATGTATTAACCAAGAAGTACTATTAGTGTTTGCATCACTTGTTTGTTTGCAATTTACATAGATTTTGCTTTCTGCAGTTCTTTGTGCTCATGGCATTTTGAACCATGGTGTGTGTTCAGTGATAATTGCCTAAAGAGCTGCAGAACAGCTGGTGACTTCTTTTCATATTTTTGGGCACAAATCTAAGAGTTTATCACAAGCTTGAATGCAAGTGGGAAAAAATCCCCTACTTGTTTTAGAAATCATGAGTCTAATTCTTTCTCTTCTCACACTGGTATAAATCATGAGTAATTCCACTGAAATCAATGCAGTGGGTGAGAAGAGAATCAGGACCTGGGTCGTTTAAGAAAAACTGTGTGTGAGAGGTCCTACTTGCACACTGCTATACACGCTATACTGGTTCAAATCTAAATCTGGTCAAAAGTGGAAGTGGGTTTAGACTTTAAACTATTTTCTCTGGGATACTTGCCCACCATGCAAATTTGCATAAAAGACTTTCTGCGTCAAAGAAAGATCCCAGACTCGAACAGCAGGAGTGCTGCAAGTCAGAAGTGAGTTAATCTGAAAGAACTGCACAGGGAAGCTTGCACATGACATTCATTTATTTTTGTTGTCATTAATAGAATCCACATGCCTAATTGTATCCTCGTATTTAAGCGATCTGTCACCTGGCTTTGTAAATGATGTTACATTGCTTGGAGATGCTTATCACCCTATAAGCTTAAAATAATAAATTCTGACTCAATTGAAATGCAAAGGCAAAATACTACATTTCCTTTTCTAGCAGAGCTTCCATTTAATGTGCCAGATGAAGAAACTTGCTCTGCTTTACTGGATCAGAGTCAAAATGGTTTGTCCAAGGAACTCAGTGATTACGGGAAAACAGTCCTTACTCAAGCAAAACTCTAAATGATGCAAATGAGTATTTCACCTGAGTAAGCACACCATGATTTGGCCCTTTGTCTTCAGGTTAATATATCAGAATGGCTACTCCAATCCAGACAAGGGACAAACCAAGTTCCTCTTGATAGTGTTTTTCTAAGGGCTGATCTACAATACCACTTAAGTCGATGTAACTTACATCACTCAGAGGTGTGAAAAAGACACCCCCCTGAGTGTCACAAGTTACAGCGACCTCAGTGGTGTCCACACCGGCACTATGTCAGCAGGAGATATTTTCCGACTGACATAGTTTCTGTCTCTCGCAGAGGTGGAGTAATTATGCCAACGGGAGACTGCTCTCCTGTCGGCATAGCACGTCTTCACCAGATGCGCTGCATTGGCGCAGTTGCATCAGTGCAGCTGTGCCAAAGTAATGCTGTAGTGTTGACTTGCCCTAAGAGTCAAGTAATTTCTCTAAAGCCTCCTCTAAAGTACATTGCCACAGTAAGCGGGAGAAGCATACTTTGAAATTCTGATGGTCTTGGATTTAAAATAATGGATGTCACTGTTTTGTTACACTACATTAAATTACCACAGGTCTCCTACACTAAACTTGACATTCTGTTCTCACACATGGCATCTATTTCAAAACAGCAACAAAGAGTCCTGTGGCACCTTATAGACTAACAGATGTATTGGAGCATAAGCTTTCGTGGGTGAATGCCCACTTCGTCAGACGCATGCCAGACTAACACGGCTACCCCTCTGATATTTCAAAACAGTACAAGTTTGTGTTAAGTGTACAGCTTCTTTATGTCCTTAAGATTGAAGTCTGACAGTAGTGATCTCCCCAAACATGCATCTAATTTTTACATCTACACTTGGGTCTTAAAACTATGAGTGCTGAATTATTTAAACTAGTATGTTGGTTAAAGAGTCTTCCATAGTTTTGGCACTGGCCCTCTTTTCTTAAGATGTTAAAGTGCCATTAACATGTTAAGGAACATATTAAGGATACATTAAAATGAATCCCAATTGGAAATTGCATGCAGGAGATATGTAAGAGGAAAAATGTAGGGCATGTAACAAGTGGCATGTAACATCAGAGATTATTACAATGCCTTTACAACTACTCACTATACTGCAGGTCACCTCTAGTGAATCACACCACTACTTAGATCTGTATTACTGTTAGTCCTCTGATACCACGTTCTTCTTCAGAAGTGGGATTTGAGCTCTAGCTTTTAAAGGCTGTATATAATACTTGGAAAACCTCATGATAAAACAATCAAAACACAGAAGACAGAGCTAGATGTTAGATACAGCCCTGAAGTGAAGATATTATTACAATAGCATAAATTGGCCAGCCTACTGGTCATGCTCTGAATTGCCTTATGGGGGGAGGACTTACCCTTCTTTTCTTGCATTCTTGCTATTCAAAGAGACAGAATACCTCACATTAATAAACAGCAACCACTCAAGAGTGCCCAAGGGACTGCCATCCAGGCAGCCTCAGTAGAAGAAGGATGGCGGTAAGAAGATGCGAAGGGGAAAAATTTATGCTGGCGATTCTGAGGGCTCCAGAAGGGCCGTAGAACCTTCCTCCCATATAATGTGTGCTGTGGGGTGTGTGAGAAAGAGGAGGAGGAGAACTGCAGAGAGGCTATGGGTCTGATTCTACTCTTCCACACAGGATAACATCAGTGATGTAACTAGAATTGCATTAATGGAAAACCAGTGTGAGACCAGAATTAGACCCAGGGTAAATTGTGTTTATACCCAATTTAAGGCCCCTTTCCACAACCAGAGCATTGTTAAATAGTCTTAGTGTAAATGTGAAATAGGCCTACTGTCTCTGGTCATTCTCAGTGCCAAGATGCAATGTATTAAATGCCCCTTCCTCTGGTAAAACACCAATACCCAAATTCTGGGAAACAGTACCATTAATTCATATCAAATAAATCCATATGTACCACAGGACCAGGAACACACAAAAATAATGCATCTACTTGATCAATACTATATTCCTAGTGGAAGGGAAAGGTTATTTTCATTACCTACAATCGTCTGATAATTAGCTGCAGGGCAGATTCAACAATATCCCGGGATGTGATTTCGCAATATAATGAACAAATGTCTACTTTTTTGCCATCTAAAAAAGCAACAAAACAATAGCAGGACTTGTCACTATTTTGCTTATGGCAGGAATTAGACAATGTCCAGAACCCTGTAGCTACCCTGCTAGCATTTTAACTAGTTTGATTACATCATTGATTCCGTTACTTCAACAGTTCTGCTCTCCAGTATAGGGCATAATTGAAAGCAGCAGCCAGCAGGTATCAAATGTGAGTGAGAAATGTCTCCTGCTGAGTAAGTACTGACTGTGAACCAGATTCACTGTCTTGTAGGCAGTTTTGCAACGAAGATGTTATAAAGGAGAGGATCCTCAGATGGGTGGAGCATCTGTGGAGGATAAAGAGGCAAGCAAATTACCAAGAATGTTCAGAAGTGGAAACTACATTTAAAAAATGGCTATGAGGTAGATCAAAAGCGAAGAGATAAGATATTGTAAAGGAATTTTTTCAAAGAGATACAAGAGAGATAAAAGGAAAAAGTTGAAGCACAAGGTATAAAACAACACATTTATTCTGACCTGCTTGCCTTCTTCATTCTGTAACTGTGAAGAAAGTCTTGTCCCAATGTTTTCATGCTAAGCAAAAATCCAACCCCTCTTTTGGTTAGTGATACCGAAGCTGAACAGCACAAAAATGAGTAGTTCAGTGGGCCAAATTCTGCCCTTCCAAAGGGCCTGTTTCAAAACCTATTGATATCAATGGGAGTCTTTCCATTATCCAAAGCCCATTTAGGTTAATGGAAAGACTCCCACTGATATCAATAGGCTTTGGATCAGGCCCTTCTAATCCTTAGAATCTCAAGCATGAGGTCAGGATTGGGCCTAGCAAACCTTGAAGTGTGATGATACTCCAAAAAAAAAATGATGGTAAGAATGGCATCATGGGGTTCTGTGTTGGAGCTGGAGTTACTGAAAAGCAATAAAGGGCTTTATTTACAGGCAAACATTTTTTTCTCTAATTGCTAACACTGCAAATCAAACTGGGATTGTTCTAACTCAGGCATAATGATCAGTAATAAATATTTTGCAATTGTATCTTGGTTAAAAATATGGTTGATAATACGTGAGCCAGAAGAGGATACAACTTTCTCTCTGCCATTACAGTGCTGGTGTGCTAACAGAATTAAAAGCAATAAACAGTTTGCCTGTTTGTTTTTTAGAAAAGGCAAACAGAACAGACTCTCAATGTACACAAGGAATAGATCTGTTGAGAAAAATGATGCTATTTTTACAGTGATTTTTCTAACCATCACCAAACTTTAAAAAACTTTGACAGAAGTCAAAACTGCAAAACTTGTGGACGGTGTAAAAGCGAAAGGCTATGGGTGTAAAAGAGAAAGGCTATGAGTAGTTACCTCTGTTAGTGAAATTAGAGATTACTGCATTTGTTTGGGTTCAATGAGTTAAATTCACTGAATGGAGCGATAATCACTGACGCAACAATGAATAGTTTGCAGAAGTATGGCATTGACACTGAAGCTGATATGAGAAACATATCAGTAGTGTAACAGATGGTGCTGAGAGCCTGGCAGGAGTTTTAAGGCATTCTGTCGCTAGTGTCACTGGGGAGAAATTTGATAACCTAAAAGTAATGTTATTTCACTCCATGAACCACGGGACCAAATTCAGTGAAAGTCTGCCTTAATGGTATCAGGCGTGATTTTCATTTACATTAAGGCTTTATCTTCACGGGGAAAAAAGGGGGTGTTTTTACATTGAGATATCTAATGTGAGACAGCTACTGATGGTTAAAGTCCTCAATGTAGCTAGCTGATCCCAGTACTACACACCTAATAAAAAGAACAGGAGTACTTGTGGCAACTTAGAAACTAACAAATTTATTAGAGCATAAGCTTTCGTGGACTACAGCCCACTTCTTCGGATGCATATACTTTATACTATATGCATCCGAAGAAGTGGGCTGTAGTCCACGAAAGC